GTGGGTGGTGGATGAGGGGGTGGTGGTGGTGGGTGAGGGGTTGTGGGTGGGTGAGGGGGTGGGGGTGAGGGGGTGGCATGAGTAGGTTGTCCACAAACCTCCCTTCCCTGAACTTAAATGAGATGGAGACACGAAGGTGTCGGGTCCCCTGCCCAGCAACCTCCTACCCAATTAAATGCACCCCCACCTCTACATTCGCCTGGGGGGCGTATTAAATTCCTGTGCCCCTTCTCTCTGTGGAACAGTTGTTTCCCATGTGGTTCTCTCTCATTTGTGTTTCTCTGACTGTCTTTTTGTCTTTTTGCCTGTGTTTCTATCTGCCATTCTATCTCTCTCTGTTTTTGTCGACCCATCCCTGTCCTTTCGTTACTGTCTCTCCATCTTTCATTGTTGCCAGCTCACTATCTCCCATACCCTGTCTCTCTTTGTTGCTTTCTCTATCTCTCTCTCTCTCTCTCTTTCATTTCTATCTGTCTCTGAATCTCGGTCTTGCTGTGATCTCTCTCTCCCATCTGTCCATCTCGATTTGCATTGCAGAGGTCACAGCTCCTGTAGGACAAACGCCTGCAGCTGTTAACCTCCCCCCGCACACTCCCCCCTCACCTCCTGCCCGTTCCACAGCTCTGTGTGTTGATGGAGTCGGCTCAGCAGCTGTCTGTCTTGGATATTGGATACATCAACTTATTGTCAAATGTGAAACTCGATCGACTTAAAACAAAACACCCAGCAAAGCCAGCAAACATTTTTACTGCACTAAACAGGCCAAGTGGATTAACCCTTTGGGCTCCCCCAGCTGTCCCAGGGTCAAGCAGCGATGTTGTCATTGATTTAAACATCTTCAACAAAGTTCAGTCACTTTATGTTGCTCCCGCAGTTGATTTCCTTTCTGGCTCTCTCCCCTCTCTTCAATGTGATAACTGATGAAAGGGAAGTCTGATGGGCATGAGATACACATTGGACAACGGATGACACACAGCTCCTAGATAAACTGGGGTCAGGGTTCAAGGTCTGTTGAGATGGAAGGGATGAAGGTCAGATGCTTACACAAGTCCAAGCTACATCCACCATTGGAGTGTTTGATGGAGATAGTGTAGAAGGAACTTTACTCTGTTTCTAACCCTGTGCGGTCCATGTCCTGGGAATTGTTTGATAGGACTTAATACCATGTTGCTGCCTCTTGGGCCTTGAATAATTGGCACCTGTACAGTCTGCCACACGAGTGGAGAGATGGAAAGATTGATTCGACTGGACTGGTATTCACTAGAGTCTAGAACAGCGTGCAGTTTTGGTCTCCTTACTTGAGAAAGGATGTACTGGCACTGGAGGGGATGCAGAGGAGGTTCTTTGGGTTGATTCTGGAGTTGAGAGGGTTGGCTTATGAAGAGAGATTGAGTAGACTGGGACTGTACTCACTGGAATTTAGAGGAATGAGGGGTGATATTATAGAAACATATAAAATTATGAAGGGAATAGATAAGATAGAAGCAGGGAGGTTGTTTCCACTAGCAGGTGAAAGTAGAACTAATGGGGTATAGCCTCATAATTAGGGGAAGCAGATTTAGGACTGCATTGAGAAGGAACTACTTCACCCAAAGGGTTATGAATCTGTGGAATTCCCTGCCCAGTGAGGCAGTTGATTCTTCTCCATTGAATGTTTTTAAGGCAAAGATAGATAGATTTTTGAACATTAAAGGAATTGAGGGTTATGTGAGCGGGCAGGTAAGTGGAGCTGAGTCCATGAAAAGATCAGTCATGATCTTATTGAATGAGAGAGCAGGGTCAATGGGCCAGATGGCCTACTCCTGCTCCTATTTCTTATGTTCTTACGTTTTCAGGATGAGAGGGGATCTGATTGAAACATGTAAAATTCTAAAAGGGTTGGTCAGACTAGATTCAGGGGTGGGGGTTGTCCTCCTGGTTAGAGGAGTCTAGAATGAAGGAGCAGAGACTCAGGATATGGGGCAGACCATTTAGGCCAGAGATGAGCAAACATTTCTTCACTCAAAGGGTAGTGAATCTGTGAAATTCTCTGCCACACAAGGTTATGGAGGCCAAGTCACTGCATTTAAGAAAGAGAACAATACATTTTTCTACATTAGTGACATCAAGCTGAAACTTGACTCAAGCTGAAACATTGAGATAGAGGATCAACCAGGATCTTACTGAACGGTTGAGTAGGCTTGAAAGTCTGACTGGCCTAGTCCTGCTCCTGCAGAGATAGTAAGAACTGCCGATGCTGGAGTCAGAGAAAATACAGTGTGGACCTGGAGTAACACAGCAGGCCAGGCAGCGTCAGAGGAGCAGGAAAGTTGACGTTTCGGGTTGGGACCTTTCTTCAGAAATGGGCCCTATTTGCTGCCTGGCCTGCTGTGTTCCTCCAGCTCCACACTGTTATCTCTACTCCTGCTCCTAGTTTCTATGCCTGTAAAATGGTGCTCTCCTGATGTCACCAGAAATAACAGTGGGGTAAACATTGGAAGTCAGGTGAGATGTTATTGTGTTACAGCTCCTGTAACCCTGAGCCTGTCTCCTCTCTGCATTAAACGATATTTTACACATCACGTTTTCAGCTTGGCTCAGTGTGTACCATTGTCACTTCTTTCATGGCATGGGTTTAGGTACCACTGCCTATTTTGTCACATAATCATAACACCAGCGCTGAATACCCTACTTGTTACATCCTGGGGTTACCACTGACCAGAAAACTGAACTGTACCAATCCAGAGACAGCACTGTCTAGTAATTTAAAGGGTGATTTTGGGAGACTCCAGTAAGATTAGGGATCATTTGCAACCCGTTTGGACAATGGTCTCGTTCTGTTCGGAGGGCTCACGGATAGTATATCCTTCCCTGGGAATTGGCAGTGACAGAGACTGGATGATTTAAGTTGCTTCAGATTGTCACGTTCTGGAGGCAATGGAAGATGGAACTAAATGGCTGTAGGTGGCAATCTGTGTTAATCCCGCATACTGAGCAACAGCTCTATGCTCAAACCCCACAGGGTTCAGGAACCGAGGACAGGAAGAATATCTGGTTCAGAATCATATGCCAATGAGGCACCAGGATATTTCTGTCCTGTCACCTCCCCCACAATCTTTGTTCTTCTCTTTCTGTTATCTCTTTCTTGACCTCGTTTCATATCTTGTTCTCATTTGCTGTTGCAAACTCCATCTCACCATTTATCTTTATCTGACTGCTAAATTCTCTCAATTTTTTGCCTTCTTTCTGACTTTTTTTTCCATCCATTGCCTCTTATTGAATAACTTTGATGTTCCCTAGCTCTATAACCCCCTCCAATCCTACAATTCTCACTCCTCCCTATTTCTGAAACTCCCTCCAGCCCTACAGTCCTCATCCCTCCGTATTTCTGTAACTCCCTCCAGCCCGATACTCCTCATCCCTCCCTATTTCTGTAACTCTCTCCAGTTCTTCAATCCTCACTCCTCCCTATCTCTGTAATTCCCTCCAATCCTACAATCCTCATCCCTCCCTATTTCTGTAACTTCCCTCAGCCCTATAACCCTCAGCCCTCTTTATATCCGTACCTGCTGCGATCCCTAAAACCCTTCAAAATTTCTGCGTTTGTCCTGTTCTGGTATCTTTCCATCCCTTATCTGTTTCTCTCCCCTATTGGCAACCATGCTTTCAGTTGCCTGGGCCATGAGTTCCGGAATTCCCTCCCTAAACCTCTCCGTCTCTCTACTTTTCTTGCCTCCTGTAAGATGCTCCTTAAAACCCATTTGTTTGATTTGTCCTTAAACTCCCTTCGTTGACTTGACGGTAATTGCTGCCAGCAATTCACAGGATTTATGCTCTTGTGAACCAGCTTGGGATGTCTTGTTCCATTGAAGGCTCTGTATAAGTTCGAGTTATTATCATTATTGTCACCCAGCCAGCTCTACCTCACTGTACTATTGCTTTTAGTTATCTCTTCAGTCCCAATTCCATATTTTCTCTGCTCTCTATCCCCTCTATGGATTTGTTATTTAGCAAAGTATACAAACAAGCACGCAAATTAGGAGCAGGAATAGGCCATTTGGCCCTTAAGCCTGCTGTGCCATTTAATAAGATAATGGCTGATTTGATTACTCCAAATTATCATCTGATAGCCTTGTACCCATTTGTTCATGAAGGATCTATCCACCTCTGCCACACAAAATGCTCAAAAACTCAATTTCCACCACTGTTTTAGGCAATGATTTAGGACCCTCTGTGAGAAAATATTTTTTCCTGATCTCAATCTTAAGATGGTGACCCCTTACTTTTAAACAGTGACCCTTAGTTCTAGATTCTTCTACAAGAGGATACATCTATCTACCCTGTCAAGAGAAGGCAATGGCCTAGTGTTATTATCGCTAGACTATAAATCTGGAGACCTGGGTTCAAATCCTGCCACAGCAGATGGTGGAATTTGAATTTAAAAATACCTGGAATCAAGAATCTACTGATAACCATGAAATCATTATTGATTATCAGAGGAAAAGCCCATCTAGCATCAATGAGGTACAGCACCAAAGTTGGAAAGCATAGAAGGATTGAGCTAAATTGCGAAGAAATGGTGAGTCGATGCTAAGCATGGGGTTTGAAAAGATTAAAAATGCTAGGAGAGAGGAAAACAGCCCTACAGTTTTATTGAAAATGGAAAGAACTGTGGATGCTGTAAATCAGGTCCAAAAACAGAAGTTGCTGGAAAAGCTCAGCAGGTCTGGCAGCATCTGTAAAGAAAAAATCAGAGTTAATGTTTCAGGTCCAGTGACCCTTCCTCAGAACTTCCTGCCTTCTGTATCTCTTTCGCCCTAGCTGTCTCTCCCTTTCTGTCTCTTTCTCTTCCTCTGTCTTTCCCTCTTTCTTCCTCCTACTCCCTCTATCCCTTTTTCTCTCTCTCTGTCTCTCTCTTTCTTCCTTCCCTCTTGATCTCTTTCACTCTCTATCCCTCTGTCTCTTTCACTCTCTCTCTCCCCCCCACTCTGTCTCTCCCTCTTTGTTTCTCTCACTCCCTTTCTCCATGTCTTTGCTCTCTCTCTCTCTCTCTATCTCTTGCTCACATGATAAATGCTGTTGGCTCATTTCATGAGGCACTTGACAGCCAGGACTAAAATCCACAATTCCTCAGAGACTGTGGTTTGCGGGAGATGAGGAATACATCATTGTGCTGGTGCTAATGACTGGGCTGAGTGCCTTCTGCTTCCAACTGCTTATTCAGTCT